AATATGTTTTGCTTTGAACAGCACCGCACCAGTGCCACACCGGGGAAGATGTAAGAGTTATTGCCTTGACCAGGTTTGTAGAGTTTCCCGTTCAATTCAACATTGTCAAATGGAGATCCGGATGCGTACAGCACAGTGCCCTAAAAGAGATGAAAATAATTAGGCAAACATGGAGCGTTCAAAAAAGCAGATATTTTGCTAGCCTTTGACAATAAAGAAAAGACTGTGAAAAAACACTAACATTGGTGTATTTATAGGCATCCTCTGCTGTACATTCTGCTTTGATAGTAGGATTTGAAAGAGCGAAAATTATTGGGCGAGCATTATTGTTAGCCATTTTCGCGAATAATCTCAGGCGTAAAAGCGCCACCGACCGTTGAGATACCTGCAAATCGATGTGGAGCATGAATAACAACTCGTAAAAAGCTTCCAATCAAAAATTTCTTGAAAAGGCGAAAAAAAAAAAATTACGTCGAAACTCTGTAATTCAACATTTTCAACCTAATTCCAATACAACTTACCCAGAAGTGCAGTAGGTTTCACCATTTTGACAACTTCCAAAAGACTTGCTGTCTCTGGTAGATCCTGGAAACAAACGCTTACTAATGGCGATTTTGTTTCAACACACACAAGACATTATCAATATCTCCTGCCTAAATTTGAATTCATTTCATTCAATTCTGGACGATCGAAGTCATAAATGAGGCCGTTCCCAGGTGAATGAAGTTTTCTATTGAGGATGAGGGTTTCTGATTTGAACCTCATAAACATGCCCGTTTTAGCATTTCAAAAATCCTTAACTCACGTCTCCTTATGTGATCTTCAGAAGCATCAGCAATACTGAACAATCACCGTTGTAAATAAGTTCTGATATTCTAATATAAGTGCTGTTTCCCACAAGCGGTTAGGGTTTCAGTTCTTCATACGCTATACTTCTTCAGCTTTCATTTTCAGAGACCATGTTCTCATCTAATGTATGTAAACATACATAAAACATAAAAAAGCACAAAGCATCCAGCGTTGAGCAGTCTTTTTGAAGATGTGCCGAGCTTTTACTTTCATTCAGGAAAGTAGTGACATTTTGAGTTGACTGACCCTATACAGTGATTTGTGGGGATCAGCAATGTACAAGTCAGTGGGTACTTTTGGTCAGCTTGGTGCCAAGTAACCGGCCAGGAAGGACTGATGCCTCGGTTGGCTTGGACATCGTGTCATCCGCGATGATCTCCGTACTGAGCGCTGGTAACTGGCGCCATGTCCACTATACACTACCATCCTTATTTCATGTAAACAAGGAGTGCTTTAAATTGTAGAATAACCTATAATGAGCATAAGATCACGCTAAATGCTTGCGTGCTGATTTGGATCCTAATACTGTAAGTAGCTGGTGTCTTCC